AAACACCTGGGAGAAGTCTCAGTGACGAACTGTCTAAATCAGACTGGCCTGTGGGCGTGTTGATGAGTTATCCTGAGTATGTGAACTGATGTTTAGAGACCCAGCACAAAAGTGGGCAGCACCATTCCCTAGGCAGGGGATCCTGAACTGTATAAAAGTGGATAACGCAAGCTGAGCACAAGCCTACGGCACGGCATGCGCTGCTCTCTGCTCCTGGCTCTAGAGGTGATGTGACCAACTCCCCTGCCTCCTGCTGTTCTGGCCTCCACTGTGATGGACTTCAGCTTGGAGTTAAAGGCTAAAGAGAATGAGCTAAAGAAACCCTTCCTCCTCAGCTGCATAGTCAGGGTATTTCATCACAGCAACTGGGAACTAAACCAGGCCAGGAGAGGAGGGAGATGGACACTTCCTGACTAAGGTGTGAGAAGCATGATTCCTCCAGTGGCATGGAGGTCCAAGAGACCTCACCTCCTTTGCTATGGTGACAATATCCCCGGATAAACAATGCCAGAGAGGGAAGGTTTGGCTCACGGGTGCAAAGCTTTCACAGTCAGCCAGCTCTGTTGCTTTGGGGTGGAGGGAAACATGTAGCTGAGTAAAGCTTCTCAACTCAAGGTGGCCAGAAAGCAGGGAGGCTTGAGGGGAGACTCCAGTGACTCACTTCTTCCTATCAAGCCCCACCTTTCCAGTGTCTACCATTTCCCAATCACCTGTTCAACTGCGAATCCATCAGTAGATTAGTTACTGATTAACTCAGCACTATCATGATCTAGTTACACACACAAACAGTCTCACCTCCAACACTCACTAGAGGCCAGGCCTTCAACATACGAACATCTGAAGGATACTTCCCACCAAACCCTCAGCAGTAGCTCATGCCCCCCCCCCCAAGTGGTCCCGTCAAGCCACAGAGCCCACTTCTGTGAGGTTTATTTATTTATCTATTTATCTATTTATTTTTATCTTTTTGGTTTTTCAAGACAGGGTTTCTCTGTGTAGTTTTGGTGCCTTTCCTGGATCTCGCTCTGTAGCCCAGGCTGGCCTCTAACTCACAGAGATCCGCCTGGCCCTGCCTCCCGAGTGCTGGGATTAAAGGCGTGCACCACCACCGCCCAGCTATTTATTTGTTTTGAAAAAGAAATGTTGAAAACCCAGTGCAGTGGTCCATGTCTCCAATCCCAACACCCTGGAGGCACAGGCAGGTGGGTCTCTGGTCTACAAAACAAGTTAGTAAGTCCCAAGGCCATGGAGAGGCCTAGTCTTGGGACGGGGTTGGGGGATGATGTCCCAAATCTGTTACCTTGTACCTTTGAGCCACCTTAGCTTCCCCCTTCTCCATTCACAAATGCTCATGCTCTCTCTAATGTTAACCATTTAAATAGCTGAAGCCAGCTGCCTACCTGTGCTCAGGTTAAAATTCAACACTGCAGTTTAGCAGTTTACATGACTCTCTGCCGAACCTGCCGGGTGTGACAGGACATAGCATGGCCATACACAGCAGGGTGCATGCCACAAGCTCAGGATCAGTTCACTTCACATGCAGGCACGCGCGCGCACACACACACACACACACACACACACACACACACACACACACACCCTACCTCTGGGCCAAGTCTTCTGACCCTGTGCTGTGGACCACGTGACCTGTGGGAGGCCTTTCTTTACACCCACTGCCCTCTGCCTCCTGGTTCCCGGGGGTGCTGCAGCTGTGGAGTTATACGATACTGACCCTATCCTTGGCACAGCCGCTCTCCCTAGTGACTGTGTCGTCTGTGGGTTGATAAGCATGACTCTGACATCTTTATCAAGCTTCTGATCCCACTGCTCAGCAAGCTGGGGCCAGCAGCCCACCAAGATCCATACCCTATGCCCCCAAGTGGCAGCCCCGAGCAGAACAGGAAGCGTCCCCTCCCCACAAAGCTGGCTCACTTAGCTAAGGCCAGCCCAGCAGAGGGGTAGGGAGCTAGGACATGACCTCAGCCCTCAGGTCACCCCATCCTACTGGATAATGTGCCTGACACTGATGGGCAGGGGTGGAATGCTTGCTGACTGGAGGGAGATCTAGCCTCCAGGTCCTGGACAAAGTGGTCTGCCCCAGCGACCTAGCAGAGGTTTGTGGGTGAAACCAGGGCTCACTGTACAGAGGGTGAGTTCTGCCAAGCTATTTTATACTGCTTTTGACACAAATTCCACTGAACTCAATGCTCAATTCACCGGTCATCGCCAACGAGCATCCTACCAACCCTGAGGCCTTTGTTTAGGAAGACAGGGAGGGGCCCCAGATCATGTTCCACCATGACTGCCCCTGCAGCAGTGGGAGGCTCGGGTGCTGCTGGGATGAGGAAGGTGACGGCCTGTCACCTGTGAAAAGGTCAGCAAATGCCCCTTTTGTCTGAAGTAAAGTTGGAAATGACAGCTCTCTGAAAAGCTGCTGGGAACGCTTTAAATTCAAGTGTTGGCAGAGCACATGTTCTTGGCTTTTGAAACAGACTCCCAGGCTCATGAGACAGCTTGTCTGCCACCCACTCCATCTCCCTCCCAGCGTGCATCCTGCCACCTTCTAGGTGGCCAGTAGAGGGCACCCCACCACCACGCTCCTGGCAGCTACGCTTGGGTTCTCAGATCAGGTGTTCCCACACAAAGACCAGGGAAGTACCTGATGTTTGCGATTTACTGCTCCATGGGAAAATCATGAACTTGCTATATATGCGATGATGTCACCTACATAAAAGTACACAGGGGAACGAGCTCAAAGGAAATGTAACAAAAGGTTATGAGAATGTGCTCACTGGAAACGGGTTTTGTTTTTCCATTAAGTTCTATATTCTGCCAATTTCCCACAAGCACTTAGTGCTCTTGTGATTGAAAAACTCAGCAGTGCTCACGGATGGGGAGTCATCTGGAGGGGCAGAAACATGGTTCCTCACTGTTGGAGAAGCATGTGCTGTGACAATGACAATGGGGGACTCTCACCCAGTGACCTGAGCACAGGCAGCCCCGAGGGTGGCCCAGGGGAGGCCCAGGGTTCCTGTGAGCACCGGCTCAGAGGAGGAAACAGGACTGGAAGTGAGGTGCCAGTCTGCCTAAATTCTGGGGTCTGAAGCTGGGACACAGGACTGAAAGTCACGGGCAGGGGTGGGGTGTAGGAATTTGGGCGGGGGTAGTCTATGGGGGGAGCTGAGTCTTCAAGTCATCTTAAAGCTGTCAGTCCCTACAAAGCCCTAGCATGCCCAGCCCTTCCTGTCTTCAATAGAAAATTGAAGTAACCAGCAATTCTTAAAAAAAAAAAAAATCAAAGATACTGGATAGGAAAAGAATAAAATCCCAAAGCCAACTCACAAAAGATAAAAACAGCAAACCCAGATGACTTAAGAGGCGCGCGCAGGCATGCACACTGCCTGTAAATCAACACCCAGCCAGAGAGGAGACTGGGAGAAACACACAACAGCATTTGCATACAGGAGGTGATCCTCCTGAATGCTGCCGACTTAACTCAGCCAAATTAGAATACATTTTATATTGACTATTTTGACATTTGTTTTATTTGGCAAGTAAAACAGAACTGATCCAATTTCCTTGCAGCCATTGTAAACCATAAACTGTGCTCCAAGGCCATAAAACACAGAGCCTTGTAAGGGCTGTGCTGGGTGACACCACCCTCCAGGCCCACCAGCTCTGGGCTACCCGCTGTGGCGTAGGTGACCTGGCTCTCCTGTGACAGGCAAGCTCAGGACATTCTCTGTTTCTTCTGGGACAGTAGGGACCCTGTCCAGTAAGTTCTTGTCAAGTCAACACAAGCTAGGGTTATTAGGAAAGAGGGAACCGCTACTGAGAAAATGCCTCTATCAGCTCGGCCTGCACGCAAGTCTGTGGGGCATTTTCTTGATTACTGCTAACTGATGTGGGAGGGCCCAGCCCACCACGAGGAGCAAGCCATGGAGAAAGAACACTCCTCCATGGCCTTTGTCAGTTTTTACCCTGTCTTCCTCAATGATGGGCTATGACAGGACGGACACACCAAGTAAGTCTTCCCCGGGTTGCTTTTGGTCAGTGTTGTTTGTTTTTGTTTTTGTTTTTTTTTCCTCACAGCATAGAAAACAAATTAGAATGCCTTCATTCCATGCAATAGGACTTATTAACTGATTGAGGTGATGCCCGTTTCTGGTCCTTCCAGACCGCATGTGTCTTTGGAGACTGGCTCTATTTATCCAAGGCCGTTGAGCCCCAAGGGGCTCTGCAGCTCTGCAGCTGACTCAGACTTGAGCTGACAAGAGCGCTGGAGACAAGTGGACCTCCCCCAGCACCGACGACAGCCTGAAGCGACGCTGGCAGCGTTGTTCTTACTGTAATGAGTGCAGCCTCCTGAAAACACCACTTTCTAAGGACTTCTGGCTTGTAGTCCCTGGAAAGCACAAACATCCTGGGCAGCTAACCAGTCCTGCTGGGTCTCCGGTGGGCTACTGGCAGAGCTGAGAGGGAGTTCTGTCCTCTGGAAGCCAGGGCCCTGGTCACTGGCTGTCACACACACCTGTGTGTCTATAAGCTCACTTGAATGGCAAGCCAAATTTTGTGTTTTGTTTAATCTGGTTTGGTTTTTGAGACAGGGTCTCACTATGTAGCCTTGGCCTGGAACTTGCTATATAGACTTGGCCTGGAACTCAAAATCTGCCTGCCTCTGCCCTCTGCCTCCTGAATGCTGGGATTAAGGGTGAGAGACACCACAGCCAGCTTGACCAACCAAGTTTGAGCTTCACCTCTTGCTGTGTTGGGAACCTGTGGTATACCCACGATATAGAATATCGAGAGGCCTTTATACACACGGAACACACAGATTTCTGACCATGACTTTTTAAGGCCCAAGTTTAGACCTGCAAATTTTCAGCTACATGTTGCACTATTTCAGCAGATATTAAGTGGGTGTTTTCTAAACTGTTGCATGGCTTGGCAGCGCCCAAGGTCATGGAAGTGCATGGGTGAGAGTCTCAGCAAAGCCTCACCTGGGAAGGTTTGGGGCTGGGGTGGAAGCCGCTGATGACTGTGAGGGCGTGGTGGGTTGAGATGAGTCGTGGTTTCTTGGCACTCTGCCCATGCGATACCAGATGCCCATGCTGTTCAGTTCCCTGCAGGAGAAAAGGAAAACCTTCAAGGCACTGCTGAGCTTGGAGCACCGACCTGAGCCACAAAGTCAACCATTACCTCAAACCCCAGGAAGACCACTCTCACCATGTAAGACAGGCTCCATCACCTCCCTTCATGCCCCGGACCTAGCACGACTACAGCTCAGGCCCTCTTTGTGTGTGATGTGTTCATCTTTACCTACCTGGGCATGCCCACCTGCCTGCTCTGGGCATGCCCACCTGCCTGCTCTGGGCATGCCCACCTGCCTGCTCTGGGTACACTGCCTTGCTTGTTGGCATGTACTCACTATTCATTTTACCATCTCACTGCTCTCAAGTACTCTATGTGGTCAGGGTGAGGCAGCTGGCAAAAGTTCTGGAGACACATGCCTGACTTCCAAGCATGAGAAGGATTCTTCTTCAAGTTCACACACACTTCCACATGTCAGGATTTGGCCCCTCATAGCTGGGAGTCACTGCATGTGGCCTCACTCCAAGGTCAGTTGGGAAGATGGCCTCAAACCCTCAAACTAACGGCTCACAGCCCACAAACCAGCACAATCAAGAGTAGATACACAGCATACATGGTGTGACAGCCACAGTGGCCATGAGTAGATACACAGCATACATGGTGTGACAGCCACAGTGGCCATGAGTAGATGCACAGCATACATAGTGTGACAGCCACAGTGGCCGTGCTCACACTGCACGCCTGTGATGTGAATGAGGCAAGCTCACCCTTGGCAATCAAACAGGATAACTTCTGCCACGTGCAAGCCCTCTCTGCCACCCCAAAACGGTGTCTATGGGACTGGAAGCCGAGGGACAGCATCTCTTCTTCCAAAAATAAAAGGCATTTACTCTGTGGGTCTTGGGTGCAGCCGGGGTGGGGGGGTTTCTAAGCCAGACCCTGCCTCATCAGAAGAGCAAGCCCACCTTTCTCCACCCCGCTGCAGCCTGTACTTCAGTGGACGATGTGCCCTTTCCAGTCTGAGATTTCTGCCTCTCAGAGCACAAGTTCAGGCCCTTGTCATGTGGCACTCAGATTAAGTGACTTTGGTACTTAAAAATCATGCTATGTCTTCTAGGAGAGGATGTTATGGCTTAAGATGAAATAAAAATTGTACTCCAGCAATTTAAAAAATTATACCAAGGAAGAAAGATTCTAGTTTTGTTTATCAAGACAAATACTGATTTTAAAAAATCCATTCTTCAGAATTGTTTAAAACAGTTAAAATTGCATCTTTTAAAAATAGTATTATAGGGGGCTGAAAAGATGGCTCAACAGTTAAGAGCACTGGCTGCTCTTCCAGAGGACTCGAGTTCAATTCCCAGCACCCACATGGCAGCTCACAACTGTCTGTCACTCCAGTTCCAGGGGATCTGACACCTTCACACCAATGCACATAAAATAAAGTTAAATAAATTATTAAAAATAGTATTGTGATGAGAGATGTGAACAGTAGATGCAAGTACACTATGAAAGTACAGTGGCTGCTGTCCATGTGTAAATGGAAGCCTGTGGGGTGATGTGAGGTTGCTCTGCTCAGGGCTTCCTCCCCTATAACCTGCCTGCACAGTTAAACTCAGGGCACAAAGCAGGATTTGCAGGTGTGGGAAGGGAATGGCCAAGCCCTTCCTTTACCTGTTCATTTTTGGTGCAGGGGATGGAGCCGAGTTGACACTCCTAAGCATGGGCTCTACCACTAACGCCCAGCTTAAACCCATCTTGACCAGAGTACGTGAATCTACAGCGGAAGAGGCTGAAGAACCTCAGCTGCAAGACCCTAGACGCAACCACCTCAGTGCAGGAAGCATCCATTTTCTTGAGTTCATCCAGCCCCACCCCAGCCCCCCCTACCTGACCTCCTGCACATTTTGGCACAGCTACCCTCTGGTGATATTTTATTTGTATTAAAATGTTATTTGTATGTTAATAAATAAAGTTGCCCGGGGTCAGAGCTATTAGCAAGCCATAGGAAAGCAGGGCAGTGGCGGCGTATGCTTGTAATCCCAGCACTTGGTAGGCAGAGCTAGGTAAGTCTCTGTGTGTTCAGGGATACAGCCATTATTGGATACACATGCCTTTAATCTCAATACCAATCTTAGAAAACCTGGAGGCCTATACAGACAGGCCGTGACGAGGCAGTCATGTGGTTGGGTTTACAACCAATGAGAAGGCAGGACAGGAACTCTATATAAAGACTTTAACACAGGGGAAGCTCTGGTTCGGAGAGGTAGGACCATCGCAGGAGGAAGGGTAAGGTTTTAGCTCTTAGGTCTGACCTCTTGGCTTTCTTCTTTGCATTGGTTCTGTGTTTCTTATTTAATAAGAAGGTTGGTTACATCTACAACGCTCCTTTACTGTTCCTCCTTGAGCTCTACTGAAGCAGTCCTTACTTCCAGCTCAGGCCGGCCAACGAGGGAATGACCTTTCCCAGGTAACAGTGACCAGGTAGGGCTGCACCTAATGCTGGTCAGAGGAATCAAAACCAAGAACACTGAATTCAAGAATTGTGATGGGAACTGCAGGAAGGCAGACTTGCTAATCTCTGAAGCCGCTCAAAGGGACAGCAGTGTCATGCCTCCCCAGAGGAACAGGTATCAGATGGAGTCCCACCAGAGGACCAAGAGGGCAGGAAATGAGGTGTTCTCATCCTCTGAGTTCCTACTTCTGCCTGCCTAAGCCTGGCTGCTGCATCAGCCAACAAATGCCTCGTTTTGCTTAGGTCACTCTGGGTGGGCTTCCCGTCACTCAGGCTCAGAGGCCCAAAGCGAAGAGCTGGGGTTTGCCTGCACTTGGAGTTTACGGAGCTGCTTTGGAGCCAGGCCCTGCTTACTTCTGAGGCTCTAGGTGACCAGGACCCAATGGGCCCAGCCTCCAGCAAGCTCTCTGCTATTAGAAGACATGCATTGTAGAGTCCTGTAATATGTGGGTTTCTTTCTGACTTACAACCAATGTGACTAGAATAAAACCCAGAGGACCACTATTTCCCTCTGGGTCCAACGTTAGCTCCGGTGTGCCCACAGGTGGGCCTCTCTTCCCAGGATGAGCCACACTCACTCCCACTCTGCCCACCCAGTTCAGTCTTCTCTTCACTGCTGGTTCTCCTGACTAAGAGATCTATGCTTAGTAATCCAGCCTCCTGTCTTAACTAGAGTAGGCCAGTTCATCACATTCCCCTCACTGTCTGAAATGACCTTGTTCATCTTCTTGCTCACTGATTATCTCTCTTTTCAGAACAGCCTCTCTATGAGGACAGGGCCTTTGTCTCTCTCTCCTGCACACAGGATCTGTCCAGTGGTACAAACAGGTTGGCCATAAAATGCCCCAGGCCGATAATCAGTGTGAAGAGTTGAGGTCCACAGTAGCATTCAGGCAGCATGCAGAGGGGCCTGAAAAGTGATTGGACAGGGACCAGAAGGCCCTAGGATGGAGCTACACTGTAAGCTGAGGTAGACTGAGGTCAGAGTCAGTGATGAGCACCAACACCAAGAGCTACGGATTATGGCTGAGTCTTATGAGCCATGCAGGAGTGGTCCCAGGAGTGGCCCAAACACTCTCAGGGGAGGTGGATCTGTGTGTGGAAATACTGTTGAGACTTACCCAATAAATGTGTACTGGGGAGGTGCCTGCTTGGTCCGGCCCATGATGCGAATGTCACAAATGGCAGCTTCGGTTGAATCCCGGGGAATAAATTTAATGCATAGCCTCTTCTTCCTAAAGGCCACCTCCTCTAAGGAAATAACAACGGAAAGGTGTGAGTCTGATGGAGATGCCACCTCCTCTCCCATTTGGGCTGCAGAAGGGATGGTCACCCTTGTCATCTGAAGAGGCCCCTAAGGACGTGTGATGGCAGCAGAGTACACCAGTCACCCTGCCCTGCATCCAGGGCCTGACCCCAGACATGCTGGCCAAGAAGGAGTTCCCTGAACTGCTGCCACAGTCGCCGTCTGTGGACACCACCCAGGGACACCCCACTATAGGGCTGCTCTTGCTTTTCAGTTTTTAGTGTAGAAATCTTCAAGCACACCCCAAGGGGTGAGAACCGCAGGGCAGAGCCACCTGCTTCTGGTCGGCACACTGGCTCCAGCTCTTGACACACCTTTAATTTTCCTGTCTGGATATATGGAACAACCCTCCCAGCACTACGTCATGTTGCCCAGCTCGACCCCAGAAGGCATGGCTGTCATGTCCCTGCCATTTCTACCAAGAACAAGGAAATTCCTGAACTCATGGTCTGAATTCCAGTTTCTCCATCATCGCACAATGCCCTGCACCCCTGCACTGTCTGGAGCCACATCTAGACTGTGTGCTGTGCAGCGGGCTGGCAGGTCTCTCGGTCCTGTTTGCACTGTCGGCACCCCCCGCGGCTCCTTGTTGCTTTGTGGCGCAGACAGGCAGGGAAAATAAACAGCTGTTCGGCCCTCATCCAGTGGCACGTCGGAGCTGGCTGGCTTTGACCCAGTCAGACCTCTCTGGAAGGCAGCACACGTGTGGGCTCCCAGGGCCACTGCACTGAGTTCCACAGTGCGGGCCTGAGACCTGGATCACCGCTCTCGCTGTGGTTTTTTAGGATGTGCGTAGCTAAGAGCCATACCTTGGTTCGAGGTTTCGAATAGCAATTCCCCAAATCCTGCCTTTCCTTCTGCATTGATGAGCTCAAGTTCTTCTATCTAAAACATAACTCTTCTTCAGCTATGCGCCACTCTAAGGTTGATTTTGACCAGGAAGGAATGCCAGTGTGTGGCTCTTCTCTGTCACTTGTCCAGCCCCCACACAATGGGCTGGTGCTGTAGCAATGGACAACGGTGCCCATCCAGGTGGCGGTGTGGCTCATTAGTGGTTCTGAACTTTTCCCAACAGTTCACGAGTCTTTCAGTTGGATTTGTGGGTAACTTTTTTCATTTTTTAAAGATTTTTGAAATTAAAATAATTATACCATTTTCCCCTTTCCTTTTCCGTCCTCTGGCCCTCCTATACACACCCCCTTTGCTCTCTTAAATTCATGACCCCTGGCCTTTTTCTTTAATTGCTGTTACGTATATATTCCTAAATACATAGATACAACCTGTTCGGTCTGTATAATGTCTCCTGTTTGTACATGACTGCAGGGCCCACCATTTGGTATCAGACAACCAACTGGAGATGCCTTCCCTGGGGAAGACTGTTTCCTCCACTCTCTGCACTCAGCTGCCTGTAGCTTTGTTTGAGACAGGGTCTCACTGTGCACCCTCGATCAGTCTCAAACTTGTAATTCTCCTGCCTCAGCCTCATAAATGCTGGGATTACAGGTACGTGCTACCACACCTGGCTCCATCAGTAGGGTCTGGGCTAGGAGCCCAGCTCTGCCACTGCTGGCACTGGCACCTCAGAGCCACTTGACCCCTCTGAGCCTCGGTTTTGCCATCTGTAGAAGAGAACTGGGGAAGCCCACCCCAGAGGAGTATGGGAGATGCTGTGTGGGAACATGATTTCTTAGCCAGTTCTAGGCACATGGTAGGTGCTGAGTAAAGGACAGCTAGGAGGGATTGGCAAGCCAGCACAGTGTGCACCTAACATCTGCGCTTGGTACTGACCCTCCAGTGGCAGAATCTGTGACCATTTACACATGGTCCTGCTGCAGGCAGGCGGGGGAGGGTGGTTCTGCCGGCCCGGTGGAATCAGCAGTATTATTGGGTCTTTGCTATGTTTTGGAGGAAAGGGGTGTCTTTTTAAAAAGCCAGAAAGCTGGGCAGTGGCGGTGGTGGCACACACCTTTAATCCCAGCACTTAGGAGGCAGAGGCAGGCAGATCTCTGTGAATTCGAGGCCAGCCTGGTCTATGGAGCGAGTTCCAGGACAGCCAGGGCTACACAGAGAAACCCTGTCTTGAAAAAAACAAAGAAACAAACGAACAGGCAAACAAAAAGTCAGGCTGAAATGCCCAAATTCTGTGAGTTCTTTCCCGGAAATAAAAGCAAAGGGCTACATCCTCAAGCCACAAAGCTTCAAGCTGTAGAAATGTCTATGACACATACAGCAAACACCCTCCTTGAGGCAGAGATGGCATCCTGGAGGAAGGGGGCGCCATTATCAGTCCTGTACCTAACACCATTAGCTACCAAGTTCAAGTCCTGAAGGAGATGCACTGGAGACCTTCCCTGAGGTAAACGGCAGGGCAGCTATTCTGCTAGCCTTTGCCACAGCTTGGCTCCATGTCTCCATCTGCAGCCAGCTCAGTCCAGGACGATCCACTCATTCATTACACATGCTTAAGCAGGCCTCATTTTAAGTAAACATATTATACATAGTCAATAGAAATGTGTTCAGTCATGCTAATGAACACAGGGAGAGTACACAGCACTTTACTAAAACAAACAGTCTTCCAGTGTTTAAGTGCTGTATGGACTGCAATAGGCTATATTTTAAATTAATTACAGGAGTCTCATCTTTTTGGCTGACTTCATGAAATCAAGGCTTTAAGTGCTCTCAGGAGATACTGGGCTGACCATGAGGCTTTTGATCCCCTGGGAGTCTTTGAGAAACAGTCCCATGACTAGAGGTATGCTTAGACACCTGAGGGAGAGCACAGGGCCCCCTGGACAGCAGCAGATGCAAACATGGGACCTGGCTTCCCAGTCAGAACCACTGGGCCCCAGCAGTCCCAGCACCGGTCCACAACAGGCCTCCTCACTGAATGAGCTCAACAAACCGGAAATGCTGAATGTGGAATCCCTTGTGGCTACACCATATATCCACACAAAAGATACTACGCATCAATTAGCTGTCAAAATAAACATCAAGGAAATATTTAAAACTCTGAAAACCTCAGGAAGAAAACAGAACAGGAATGAATACAAATCACTGTAAGCAGAGAATTCACCTAAGAGAAAAAGGTAGCAAGCGATCGTCGCAAAAGCACTCAGGCTTGCTAATAAGTAGTGAACTACAAATTAAACACAATTTAAATAGTGAAACAAAGTAAGAGGCTGAGCGCCTGCGTGGCAGTCTGAGGAAATGAAGCCTCTGCTGCAGACAGTGAGAGACCTTTGCGGAGGTCAGCAGCTGGCAAGTCCAACCCGCAAGGGACCAGTGTGCTCCAGCAACGTACCCTCCTCGCCTGACAAACAGGGAAACTGAGCCAGGATTCTGAGAGGACCTGCTCGGGGCTCCACAGCATGAGCAGCAGGGCCAGCCTGAACCCATGGACACAGAGACAGATTCAGAAGGAGGGCTCCGGACTGGGGTCCTCCTGTCTGCACACTTTCCACAGCCTGACATGACTATGTGGGAATGACCGGAAACAGGCGGAACTACATGGGAAGCACCGGCTGGGGGGCAGGGCGGCCAGGGCTGGGAAGCAGTGTCTCCATGACGTCCGTGCCTGCTCTGAGGGCAGCTGTGGTGAGGAAAGGCCCATGATGGTGGTGCACAAGCATGACTATTCTGAGAAGTACTGGACTGTGTACTTTAAATGGGTGAATTACATGGTACTTAGATTGTACCTTAAACCACTATTAAAAAAAAAAAAAACCCTGTTACTTAGAAACTCTGTTTGCCCAAGGTGCTTAGTACATGTGTGTGTGTACATGTGCACACGTGTGTATGTTCTGTGTGTGTGCGTGTGCATGTGTATATGTAGGTGTATGTGTGCATGTGTATATGTAGGTGTATGTGTGCATGTATATATGTAGGTGTGTGTGTGCATGTGTATATGTAGGTGTGTGTGTGCATGTGTATATGTAGGTGTGTGTGCATGTGTATATGTAGGTGTGTGTGTACAGATGTATGTGTGTGTACTATATGCATGTATGTGCATCTGCGTGTGTATGTGTATATATATGTGTATGTGTGCATATGAATCTGTGTGTGTGTATGCATATGCATTTGTATGTGTGTGCATATGTACATGATTATGTGCATGCATGCATGTGTATTGTGCATATGTGTGTATGTGTAAGCATGTATATATCCATGTGTATTTATGCACATGCATGTATGTGTGCATATGTTTCCATGTGTATGCATGTGTATGTGTATATGTGCATGTATGTCCGTGTGTGCATATGCATGCATATGTACGTGTGTACATCTGTGTTTGTATGTGGGTGTGTTCTTACACTTGGTTAAGATGCAGTCACTGTACCTTGTTTTTCTCACATGCAAAGCAGGCCTAACACCCATCTCCATAGAGGTCTCCTAAAGATAAGATGACATCATGAGGGTGGAGTGTTTATCATGGGGGCTTTACATGAAACGTTAAACGTCAGTGTCCTCTTTTTCTGTTGCTGTGGTAACACATCCTGACCAAAGGCACTTGAGGAAGAATGGTTTATGTGGCTTACAATCCCAGGCTAGAGCACGTCACTGAGGGGAAGTCAAGAACAGAGAGAAACAAGCTTCCTCAAGTTTACAAGAGAAACAAGTTTACACTCCGTCGCTGGCCCTCTGCCCTCACATAGCCCAGGACCTCCTGCCCAGGTGGACTGGGTCAGTTAACAATCATGACAACCCCCTGCAAGCATGCCCAGAGGCCGATCTGATCCCTTCTAAGGTGATTCAAGGCTGTGCCACAGTGGCAGTTAAAACCAACCAGCACCATGACATTTGCTGGGACACGGAGCAGCACACGAGGGATCCGTGCTTTGCTGAAGTAAGTTCCACTGGAGGGGCTGGAGACATGGAAGCTGTTCAGTTTGAAATGTGAACAAGAAAATGGCAAGCAAGTAATGGGTTCAGAAACATTTGAACCAAGGAAAACCTGAAAACACACACACACACACACACACACACACACACACACACACACACACACACACACAAAATAAAAACAAAGAACAGGGTACAGAATTCCATAAAGGAATTTCACAGATAAAGGGATCTCTGTTCTCTTATTCACTGCCTCACTGCTGTGGAGGGGGCTCAGGAGTGATTACAAATAAAGCAAGTTCCTGTACACCAAATAAAGATGCTCAGATACACAAAGTCTCCCTGACTCTATCTTACCAGTCCTGCTCCAGAACCGGCCCTAGCCCAGGATCCTGAGGCAGCTTCTCCATCTTCCACAGTTCTCTGCTGTTCAGCTCAATGCAGTGTTGCTCAGTGGTTGGAACATCTGGTCTAATTCAAATCTTGTTTTTATTTGTTTGAGGTTTTTGTTGTTGTTTTGTAATAGAAGGGGTCTCATGTAGCCCAGGCTGGCCTCTCACTTGCTATGTAGTGAAGGATGACCTTGAATTCTGATCTTCCTGCCCCTACCTCCCAAGTGTTGGGACTACGGACATGAGCTACCACACCTGGCTCCATTTGATCTTGCATGCTCTAACTTGCAGCCTTTCTGGTTTGTGCCTCTTGCTCGCTCTGTGAGCCCCAAACCAGGCACAGAGCCTTTCTTGCAGCCTCCAGGGATCTTTTGATCTCTGCCCTTCCTCCCTTTTGCTTTGGGGTCTTGTGCCAAGCCTGGCTTCAGCAACAGTTGAGGGCAGACCAAAGACCAACTATCCCTAGACTCTCTGTCCTGTTATCGAGTGACCCCCAAGCAGCAGGGGCATCATTCTAAGAAAAGGGACTCTGCTCACTTGCAGGCAGGGCCCCACATACTCTTTGGACACACAGAGAACCACAGTGGATGTCACAAGTGGCAGGCTTTCTTTACCAGTCACAGGAAGTCCCTTCAAATGTTTCCAGAGAAAACCACACAAAGTATTAAGTCCACCAGAAGAGAAGGAGACTATCCCCAAGGCATGCATGCTAAGAGCAGACTCACGTGTGTCCACTGTCTCCTGAATAGGAATGAAGCCCACAGGCAATGTGTCCTTGACATCGATGAGCTTCATGTCCACCAGCACATTCCCCAAGTGACTCTTGGGAAGAAGAAAAGACACACAGGCTATTAATTGGAGCTCCTCAGTCGGCTTGCAGTCCTGGCTTCAGGACACATATTTAATACAGTGACCACTGCAGCTTCCCCTCTCAGGTTAGTTAGAGAAGACACCTAATGTTGCCCAGCATTTACCCAGGGACCACAGTGGACCTCAGGAAGGAGGTTCATCTGTGAAACCTCAAAGCCACTCACTCAGATGTGGCCTTGATGAGCTGGATGAACCACGCTGTAGACAGAACCCAGCAGAGGGCACGTGGGCATGTAGCCTAGATCCCACCCCCTCTCAGGGTCTGCAGGGTTTAAATGGAGGAGGTTCTGGGATGCTTGCAGGAGAGAAGTTGCATCTGAACTGAATGGAGACTGGTCACACAACCTAAGGGGGTTTTGGTCGCAGACAGTTTTCAGTTACAAGATGAACTGTACAAAATCCCAAGAATCATAAACTAACAGAACAGCAGCCCAGCCACTTCCGTACCCCACGCCTTCTGAAAAGAGTCGCTGGGGGGCTCTTAGGAGTTCCTATTTAGTGGTGGCAGAAGGGTCCACAGTGCACAGTTGCCATAAAGACATCTTTTGAAGATGGCAGGTGGCGTACCATTCTATAACCACAAGAGAGAATCTTTGCAAACACGCCAGCACTTGCAGCCCTTACTTCATGCTAGAAACGGCTCGCAAGAAACCTGCCCTATGCAGGGCTGCTGTGGAGATTACATTCACATCTTCAGAGTCCTCTCAGCCTTGTCAGAGCCAGTTAAGGCAAGAAAAGTGGGTTCCCAGCCCAAATCTCCCATTAGGGTCACAGCAATGTGCTCTGTGTGCCCACTTTGCAGAAGCACCGTCCTCCAAAGCCAGCTTGAACGCACGCACACTTCCCTTGTCTGCAATTCCGAAGAAACATCTAAGGGGGCAGCCCAGGCTCGGTTCTCACAGGCACTGCTCAGGACAGGGTCCCCGTTGCCTAGAGAAGGGACCCAACTTCATCTCTGAACTTGGGGAACACAGACTCCTCTCCATCCTGAGAGCACAGGCATCTCCGAAATCCATACAGGGAACATCTGCTTTCTGAACTAAGCCAGGCACTCTCTCCTTAAGCTCCTTTAAACTTCCTATCAATTTATAATTGGACTCTGTGGTGGTTTGAATAAGACTGGCCTCCATAGGCTCATAGATTTAAACACTTAGTCATCAGGGAGTGGAACTACTTGAAAAGGATTGGGAGGTGTGGCCTTGTGTCACTGGGGGTGGCCTTTGAGGTTTCAAAAGCCATGCCAAGCCTAGTGTCTCTCAGCTACTGCTCCAGCACCATTTCTACCTGTGTGCTGCCATGCTCCTGGCCATGGTGATAATGAACTATAGACAAGCCCCCAGTTAAATGCTTTCTTTTATAAGAGTTGTCTTGATTATAGTGTCTCTTCATAGTAAAAGAACAGTGACTAAGACAGACACTGTGAGGTATCCATCTACCTACCATCTTCAAAGATGTTGTTACAGAAACTGTGCAGTGAGGGTCAAGAATTCATAACTAATAATGTCTCCCTGTCTTTATTTGGGAGCTGGTTGGTGGCCCAAAGAAAGTTCCAACTACATTTGGTGGCACACTTTTCAACAGGTGGGTGCTGATGATCAGAAACCAAATCAGACTTCCTTGGATGGCAAATTGAAATGGGTCACCCAAATTCTGAAAGCTTATTATTGGTTATTATGGTGCATAAGTAAAACACATGCCTCAGGTAGAAATCAGGAGTGAGAGTGGCATGTGTAGTCTGTGCCCAGCACTTCCATGATTGTCCCATCAGACACCTGTCCTTTTCTCTCAACATCCCTGTGCTTGCCAACAGTTCCATGTTATCACTGCTCAGGGGGCCAGGGCTCAGGAAGACAGAATGTACTGAGGTGCAGCATGTGGGAGTAGGCCCTCTCTAGTGTGGAACAGACTTCTAACTACACGGGAAGGCCAGGCTCAGCCGAGAACCTTGGAAGCACCACCTGCCTTGGGAGCAGACCAATCTAATCTACTGCGTTTACCCCGAGGCAGCTGCCCTTCTATGTCACGCTGCTTTCTGCATCGAGGAATTAACAACTGGGCGTGTTCTGCTGCCCCAGAGATGGATGGGCACTCATCAATATTGCACTTGAACATCTTCAGCTTGACAAGCTGGACTCCGTAGAAGTCAACTGCAAACCACTTAGCAGCGTCAACCTCCCCACTCTCGAGAAAATGCCCTAATCATAACATCAGAGCGTTGGTGGTGCAGCCACTGAAACAAGCATGGCGAAACCCTTCTGTGCATAAAAAATGGGAGGCTGCCCTGTCGACGCTTCCAGCAGCCTGAGTGTGGCCCTCTTCTGCGGGCTGTCCCTCTGTGGGATTTTTTTCTTTTTTTCATACTGTAGGCCTACAACACCATGAATTTTGCTGGTTCCTTTCCCTTCCCCCTCTTGTGCTCTCTTTCATTTCCTCCTCATAAATATGAAGAACGTATTCCCAATCCTTGTTGAGCAAATGATTCATACCAGAAGCCCGATATACACTGACTCAGGGTATTTATATTGTCTCTGGTAGCCAGTATTTGCTAGTATACTGTAATTATTTTTGACAACTTTGCATTTAAGGTGGCCACAGATAACCAACTTAATATTCAAATGTTCATAAATCCTTCTGTTTAACATCCTCCCTACCTAATCCATGTACATTATTATTACAGGTAATGCCGAAAGTACGGGGCATGAAAAGCGCAATTAATCTCACTCCTTCCCCAGGAAACGACGTCACTCTAAAGCCAGGTTCCTATATTAATGGTCTGATTGGGGAAAGGAATTTAGGATTCAAAGGAAGCTCCCCAAACTCCTATGCTCGGAATCTCAAGTCACCTAATTAAGACTTGGCCTGCTCTGGAGATCCCACACCCTCCCATATGGTTGTAAAATGGTACTCTGCCAAGCCTCTGTTGACTCGAGGCCAGGACAGACAGGCAGCCGCCACCGGCTAGCATGTGCCTAGCTCCTGCCTCACTCAAGGACTGGCAAGTGGGCCACCCAAAAATTTGATCCCAAAGCAAATTCTATCCCCCGATTTGATCATTTAGATGATGGCAATGCTAAGCTAGATCCCCCTGCCCTAGACATATTCATTCTCTTCCATAAAAAGGGAGCACCCAGGCTTCAGTACAGGGCAGGGGCTTCTTGGGCTGTCCTCCTGGCAGCCTCACACCTCATCACCCCAGCACCCAGCTACTGATGAACAGCAACATGTTTTCTGGCAGTGCCAGTGCTGTGGGGTGTTTTGTATGCTGTGAATGTGTTGCTCTGATTGGTTGATAAATAAAATGCTGATTGGCCAGTAGCCAGTGTAGGCAGGATAAGCAGACAAGGAGAATTCTGGGAAGAGGAAGGCTGTGTCAGGAGACGCTAGCCCACTGTCCAGGGAGCAGCATGTAATGGCACACAGGTAAAGCCACGGAAAACGTGGCGACATATGGATGAACAGAAATGGGCTGAGTTTAAGTGTAAGAGCTAGTCAGTAGTAAGCCTGAGCTAATGGCCATGCAGTTATAATTAATATAAGCCTCTGTGTGTTTACTTGCAGGACTGGTGGGTAAGAGAGATTTGTCCTGACTGCGGAACAGGCAGGACACAGGAAAATTTTCAGCTACAGTGCCAGGGACCGAATCCAAGGCCCCATGTATGCTAAGCAGGTACTCTACCACGACCCTCAAGCCCAAGAACTGTGTTTCCTCCTCTGAATCATAATGGACCTGTTGCTGCCCCCACTCCCAGGACTTCAAGAACTCTTCTGCCTCATGGATTTCAGGAGGAAATGTAGCAAGCCAGTGTAAGTGACCCAAGGGACTGTGGACATCCTCTGAGCACAGGGCTGGGGTGATTTGAGTGAGAAATGTCCCACATAGTTTTGAGGATGTGAACACTTGGTCCTCAGTTTGTGGGGAGGTTAGGGGAGGTTTAGGAGGTATGGCCTTACTAGAGGAAGTATGTCACTGGGGTTGGACTTTGAGAGTGGAAAAGTTCACACCGCTTCCAGTTCTCACTCTGCTTCACACTTGCAATTGAGGATGTGAGCTCTGAGGTTCCTGCTCTTAACACCACGTCTTCCACTTGTGGTCACGCCTTCTACTTTTGGCCACACCTCCCTGCCTTGATAGATGTTTATCCCTCTAGATCCATAAGCCAAAATACACCCCTCCTTCTGTAAGTTGCCTTGATCATGGTGTTTTATCACAGCAACAGAAAAGTAACTTAGACAAGGTGCTTGACAAGTCTTCAGGACTTCCTCCCGAGAGTCCAGCAGCAGCGACTCCATGGCAGTCCACGGGAACAGTGGTCAGCGGACTGAACAGAGGCAATGGGAGCAAAAAGCAGAAAGAGCTTTCAAAAGACATTTGAGTAGACTCCAGGGACAAAGGGACTGAGGAGGGTGCGCGAGGGTGAGGGTGCGCGAGGATGCAGGTGGGAAGGATAGTTTATGGGTCTACTGATAGCCTCCTGAGCCCAGCATCTGGTGTGCTGATGTCACCTCACCCCTGCTCTTTGGAGTCTCATCAGGCTACAGTGAACCCAAAGGGTCTGTGCAGACACCCCACAGCACTGTGCAGGTGCCTACTCTGGCTCAGCTGCCACCATCCTGATACTGAAAAAGCATTCAAAGGCCTGGTAGTAAAGATCTCCACTTCAGTCATAAATACTTTACAAGCAGCAAATGTATAGGGGAACTTAATGGGATTATTTCACCTGAAATCCTGAACACGTTAGGAACAATATTCATAACAAAGAATTATCAATGAGCAATGGGTAGTGTGTGATCACATTACAGTCCACATTCAGACACTGCTAAAGGGACACACCTGGAACTGGCAGTGGGACCCCAGGCTGGAGGGTTATAATGAAGAGAAGGGCTATGACAGAGAGGCTGTGATGGACAGGGAGGCTGTGATGGACAGGGAGGCTGTGATAGAGAGAGGCTGTGATGGACAGGGAGGCTGTGACAGACAGGGAGGCTGTGACAGACAGGGAGGCTATGATGGACAGGGAGGCTGTGACAGACAGGGAGGCTGTGATAGACAGGGAGGCTGTGATGGACAGGGAGGCTGTGATGGACAGGGAGGCTGTGATGGACAGGGAGGCTGTGACAGACAGGGAGGCTGTGATAGACAGGGAGGCTGTGACAGACAGGGAGGCTGTGATGGACAGGGCGGCTGTGACAGAGAGAGGCTGTGATGGACAGGGAGGCTGTGATGGACAGGGAGGTTGTGATGGACAGGGAGGCTGTGATGGACAGGGAGGCTGTTATGGACAGGGAGGCTGTGATAGAGAGAGGCTGTGACAGACAGGGAGGCTGTGACGGACAGGGAGGCTGTGACGGACAGGGAGGCTGTGATAGACAGGGAGGCTGTGATGGACAGGGAGGCTGTGATGGACAGGGAGGCTGTGACGGACAGGGAGGCTGTGATGGACAGGGAGGCTGTGACGGACAGGGAGGCTGTGATAGACAGGGAGGCTGTGACAGACAGGGAGGCTGTGACAGACAGGGAGGCTGTGATGGACAGGGAGGCTGTGACAGAGAGAGGCTGTGATAGAGAGAGGCTGTGATGGACAGGGAGGCTGTGATGGACAGGGAGGCTGTGATAGAGAGAGGCTGTGATGGACAGGGAGGCTGTGATGGACAGGGAGGCTGTGATGGACAGGGAGGCTGTGATGGACAGGGAGGCTGTGACGGACAGGGAGGCTGTGATAGACAGGGAGGCTGTGATGGACAGGGAGGCTGTGATGGACAGGGAGGCTGTGATGGACAGGGAGGCTGTGATGGACAGGGAGGCTGTGACGGACAGGGAGGCTGTGATGGACAGGGAGGCTGTGATGGACAGGGAGGCTGTGACGGACAGGGAGGCTGTGACAGACAGGGAGGCTGTGACAGACAGGGAGGCTGTGATGGACAGGGAGGCTGTGACAGAGAGAGGCTGTGATAGAGAGAGGCTGTGATGGACAGGGAGGCTGTGACAGACAGGGAGGCTGTGATAGACAGGGAGGCTGTGACAGACAGGGAGGCTGTGATGGACAGGGAGGCTGTGACGGACAGGGAGGCTGTGACGGACAGGGAGGCTGTGATGGACAGGGCGGCTGTGACGGACAGGGAGGCTGTGATGGACAGGGCGGCTGTGACAGACAGGGAGGCTGTGATGGACAGGGAGGCTGTGACGGACAGGGAGGCTGTGATGGACAGGGAGGCTGTGACGGACAGAGAGGCTATGGTGAAGAAGAAAGCTTCTACCTTTCGTTCTTCTGATTGGCATGTTTTATGCTGTGTGGATTTTTTTTTTTAAAAACTACAACCTATATTACCATTATAATTTCTAAATTGGCAAAAAATATTTCCAAAGTAAGTAAGTATCTGAATTAGAAGAGACAAATCCTCTCCTCCCCAGAGAGGAGCAGTGCCTTCACGGTGGGATAAAAATGGGAGACCATCTGAGGAGGGAGCGTGGTACTGTCATGCGTGGGCCTCTCATGTCACACAGAGGCTCTTTAGAAACGAGGCCATGTAATGTCTGGGGACAGGCATGGGGTAGTGGGTGTCATGGACCCTCCACTGAGCTGGTATGCCCTCTGAGAGCTGCTGCTCACCCCCTGCCCCAGAAGACTCTCCTCCATCCACAGTGCCCCAGAAGACTCTCCTCCATCCACAGTGCCCCAGAAGACTCTCCTCCATCCCCACTGCCCCAGAAGACTCTCCTCCATCCACAGTGCCCCAGAAGACTCTCCTCCATCCCCACTGCCCCAGAAGACTCTCCTCCATCCACAGTGCCCCAGAAGACTCTCCTCCATCCCCACTGCCCCAGAAGACTCTCCTCCATCCACAGTGCCCCAGAAGACTCTCCTCCATCCCCACTGCCCCAGAAGACTCTCCTCCATCCACAGTACCCCAGAAGACTCTCCTCCATCCACAGTGTCCAGTGAGTTGCCACTCGCAGGAACAGTAGGCAAATGAGAGAGCAGTGAGAGGATTTCCTAGTCTCCTTTGGAGAAAACATCTTAATGGAATTCACTGTGCACTTGGGGGTGTGGTTAATAACATTGTTAATAAGTGAAACATGGTGCTGGCTGCCGATTCTACCCTGCTCACTGAAACCACCGATAAATTAATACAGCAATGAACAGAAAGCACACACAAAAAGGGAAAACCCCAACCAGGACTGTCAATCACTCCTGCCCACTCAGCAAGGGAACTGCCATCAGACTCACATTCTCTTTGGAAAACGACCTCGTGAAACACAGGTATCTGGTGACCTTGGACTTGAATAAGCCGTCCTTCCAGAGGTCAGCATCCACGCCATCTGCTGTCTGTGCGACCTGTGGCAGAGAGATGAGCAGAGGGCACAGGTAAGATGAGACAGAGTGGAGGCGGGTGCGGCGGCTTCCCCGTACCTGTTCCAATTAGCACTGGCCCCAACTCTCCTGGCATCTCATTAGTGCACCGCACTCGACACCGGGAAGAACGTTTCCAAAAGGGAAAAGGGGAGGCTGTGAAAAATACAACTTCTAAAAATACTGTCCCCAGGGAGGCCATTGATTAAAGACCCCCTGGCAGAAATGGCTCTAATGAGGGAAGAATAGCTCTGCTGTAATGGACTGGGCAGGGACTGGGCGGTCAGCACATCAGACTGTTTGCTGCCACTTACTCAGGGGCAGGCGCAGGGCACAGGAGAGAGCCCGATGGGGTTGAAATACACCTGCGAGGGGTACCCCTGCGGTGGGGACCATGTGACTCCCTGCCCACAGAGGCCAGAGGGAGCTTCGGGAAGGGGTTCTGTCGGGCTGTGGGGTAGGTCAGGAAATTGGCTCCACACTGCATCTTCCTGGTGCAAGCTCCTAAAGTGGAATTCAAGGTCAGAAACTACATCATGGTGGGAAAATAAACTGGACTCAGTTGATTCCACCTCTCGTCTCCCTAGGAAGCCTCTTCTCAGTCCCTCAGGACACAGTCCAGGGTGAAGAGAGCCTTTATTTGCCTCACTGGGCATGACATCCAGTGGTGAGTCTGGGCACAGAGTTGACAGGGGACTGGAGAGAGGCGTCTGTGGCTTCTATGTCACCTGAGTGGCCTGTGCCATCACAACGCAGTGTCAGGAGACCCGGGGAACGGCTTCACATTTGGGCACAGATCTGGAGGGGGCTTCACACAGCCTCTTTTCTGACTGAGCCACGGCTGACCTTCTAAGGTGTGCACAGGACAGGGTCCATGGTCTGACAAGCTCCTGGCTATCCTCGTAGATGGTTGAAAGTGGTTCTGTTCCTATGAAGCTGCAGGCACCTTAAATTGTCAGCAGCCTCTGACATACATGCAGGAGTTTGCCACTATGTCCCCAAGCCCACCCCAGCTGCCACCCTGGAAGACACCTCAGAGAAGCTGAAGGCTAGCCAGCAAGAGAAACCCACTTATTTCCCAAACTGAACAACTGTCAGTTAGCTGATCTGAGGGTAAAGAGAAGACAGGCCATTGCACTGAGGTGGTAAATCTAATCTGAAAGCTCACGAGGGAGGCTCTGGGAAAGCTAATGGCTAGGTAGTGGCCTCAGCTGCTGTCCCCCGAAGTCTCTGCTGTACTAGGCAGGCACTTCTCAGCCCATTCACACAAAGCTACACGTTAACCTGAACTTCTCCCCCAAGCCGGATGAGCTAAGTCTGTGTGTGTAGGGAGGAGGATCAGGGCCCCTAGCAGGCAGTGAGGAAGGAGGGCCACAGCCCTACCACAGAAGAGGCAGCGTGGAAGGAGGGCCACAGCCCTACCACAGAACAGGCAGCGTGGAAGGAAGGCCACAGCCCTACCACAGAACAGGCAGCGTGGAAGGAGGGTCACAGCCCTACCACAGAAGAGGCAGCGTGGAAGGAAGGCCACAGCCCTACCACAGAACAGGCAGCGTGGAAGGAGGGCCACAGCCCTACCACAGAACAGGCAACGTGGAAGGAGGGCCACAGCTCTACCACAGAACAGGCAGATCTGAACTTGAAACCCAGTGGCTTCCGGAAGCCCTGTCCTATGTAGAGTACACATGCTGCCCTCCCCAGGGGTCACGGGGATGCTGTATATGCAAGAGCACTCACTGGTGAGCATCTGCAAAGATGACTCGGTGCTTCTAGACTAAATTTGAGGACACTTGGGATGATGTGGAACCAGGTATTTAGCACAATGTCACATCATCATTCACAAAGTCCTAATTTGTCCCATGGGGGTTAACTGTGACTTCTGGTCCTAAGACTTCTTCACCATCTCCAGGATGTGAAGAAATGTAGGTGATGTACTGTGTGATAACACAAACCCTCCCCTGCCACCTACCATGACCCAACACAAGGAAGCTCTACGGAAACTTGATTAAGGAATGGGTGAGCGAGGCAACTTTTCAACCATAACCAAGTGTGAGAAGCCATGGCCCATGCAGCTTCCCTAAGCAATATCACTCCCAGGATTGAACCCCCCACCAAGCGAAGCAGGAGGCTCACCCACCCTCACTTCCCAGCCCACCACTCCACCAGGCATCTGCTGCTAATGCTGAGGCCACTGCGCTGGGCATTGTGTCTGTTTCCTGCCTTGACCCCAGCAAGGCTGCTGCTGCTGCTTGCAAAGCCTCCAGACCTGAAGGAGGCCAACATGTCCTCAGAGGCCAGGCTTGGAGTCAGCAGGTGCCCTGAGGACATTGGTTCCTTCAGTGGTACTCAGTGTTTGCACTGTCACAAGATGTAAATGCTGAGCAGAAACTTGTAAGAAATTTGTGATACCACCTTAGAGGGGGGAACTACAAAAACACTCTAATTTGGAAAAAGTCAGAGAACTGGAGAAATGATCAGTTATGGTAGCAGAATCAGGGGCTCTTCTAGTGGTACACAATCTCATTTGTGGTATCAATCTCATTGATGGTATCAACACATTTCCCAACTGGTGACTCTGTCTAGGTGGTACATGAGTTGATTGCAGCCTTCTCCATTGCCAGTATCCACTTTCAGTTGCCCCCAGTTAGAGCTTCCCAGCCAGGGAAGCCCTGAGAGGGGGTGACAGGCACAGCAGGGCTATGGGGACCTCACAGGCCCAGCCAGGGAAGCCCTGAGAGGGGGTGACGGGCACAGCAGGGCTATGGGGACCCCACAGGCCCAGGCTCTCTCTTCCTTCTCCCACGTGACCTCACGATGCTGTGGGATGTTCTGTATGGCAAATGTGTTGCTAATTAGTCAATAAATAAAACACTGATTGGCCATTGGCTAGGCAGGAAGTGTAGGCGGAACAAGGAGGAGAATAAAGCTGGGAAGTGGAAGGCTGAGTCAGAGAGACACTGCCAGCCGCCATGATGAGAAACAGCATGTGAAGGTGCCGGTAAGCCACGAGCCATGTGGCAAGGTATAGATTAATAGAAATGGATTAATTTAAGCTGTAAGAACAGTTAGCAAGAAGCCTGCCACGGCCATACAGTTTGTAACCAATACAAGTCTCTGTGTTTACTTGGTTGGGTCTGAGTGGCTGTGGGACTGGCAGGTGAGAGAGATTTGTCCTGATTGTGGGCCAGGCAGGAAAACTCTACCTACATCACGAGTTGCCTTGGCAGTCACAGAAGACAGTGAATCTCAGAGAGCGCCAAGCTGCCCTGTGAACGGTGTCTCAGCTACCTGCAGCTAGCATAGACAGTCCTTGATAAGAAGGACCAGAGCCAAGTGGGATGTTCTCCTGCGGCTAGGGACCAGGCCCAGGGCAACACTCCGCTCACAGTACATTGTTTGCCAGGCACTGGTCTACACAGGCCACCTGCAGTTTCTCACTGAAGGGTCCTGACAGCCTAATGACATGGGTACCCCCCATCCTCATCCCAGTTTAGAGCTGTGAGCATGAGTACAGCAGCAAACTTACTCTAAGTCATTCAATGTGCTCAGCTTCAGGGCCAATCCCAGACACCTAGGGCCGCTGCCTGGGAAACTGCCTTCAGGACATTTGACAAGACATAGGCAGGCTTATCTAGAATGCAGGAAAAGGACCAATCAGAGAGAGAGAGCCACATCAGACTCCCCAGCTATCACTCTGCTGAAGGGAAGAGCTGGGAGCACCAACTAGGTGTTGAAGGCTACAGAGATGGGGACTCAGGCACATCTGGACGCATGGCAGCCCTGAGGGTTTTGTCTGATGGCAGAGGTGTGAGACTGCCCAGGCTGGAGTGTGCTTGCCTCTGCGCTGTGAGGATGAAGAGGCGGGGCCTGGACTGCGTCTAGGCCACAAGGGATCTGCCCTAGGAGAGGGGTTCAGGCTGTTATGCGTGGATGCTGTGGCAGTGGAATGTTCACCTCATACATTTCCTGTGCACTTCCACCATGTGACGTAGGCTACATTAAGCCACTGCAAGAAAGCCTTCATGGGACATGGCCCCTCCATCTTGGGCTTCCCAGCCCCAAGAACCCAGAGCCAAATAACTTCCAATGTTTATAAATATCCAGTCTGTTACAGAAGCTGAAAACAGACTGAGACACAGCAACACAAACTTTCACACCAAACCATTACCATACATACACATATACATACATACATATATATACATACAAACACACACATATATACATACAAACATATATACACACACATATATACATACAAACATATATATACACACATACACACATATATATACACACATACATATATATACACATACAAACATACATACATATATATATTTATATATATTTTTTTCCTGGCCTGAGTCTAAGCAAGATGCTGAATGGCTTGAAAGGTCTCTACACCCAGATGCGACCACTTGGGCTTTCAGCAGCCCAGAGAGCAGTGCATACCAAAGACTGCCAGGCCAGGGGGACAAAGGAAGGCTCAAGCTCACTGGATCCAGGAAGATTCTGAGCTGCACCCCAAGGAGAGAAATCACGTTGGTCCATCTGAGGCCTGGATGCCCTTTCCCCTCAGTTCTTTCACCACACAGTATTTGTACTCTCCTTAACTCATCAGTTTAGGCAATCCATGTAGCACAGCAGTGCACACGACAGAGCTATGAGGAGGTAAAATCACTGTCTAGTTTACAGGTAAGGAAAGCGAGACAGAGAGTATTGCCTACATAAATACAGCAAGTCCACAGGATGGCATTCGCCTATGGGGCTCTGCCCAGGGTGTGTTATAGAGAGGAAGAGCAGCTTATCAAGAAGCACATGGGAGAGGATACGCAAAGAGCTCTCATGAGGCAACAGAAAAGGGCACACACTGAGGCAGGCCACGTGCATCAGCCAGGAATGGTGTGGAACCACGCAGTAAGGTGAGCGGCTGCTGGGCTTGGCCACTGGTCTGAAAGGAGAGCTCACTGGGGCTTCGTCAGACTGATGACGACATTTAAAGCGAGGCTGGTACACTCAGTGCAAGTTAGCCCTGAGAACAGACGTATGCATCACTGCTGGGTGACAAGAGGACAACCAGGCCTGGGATGCCTTAGCAGGTAAAGGCACTTGCTGATAAACCCGACAGCCTGAGTTCCATCCTTGAGATCTACATGGTGTGTGGAGAAAACGGATTCCCACAAGTGTCCTCTGACCTCCACACACACAAAAGAAAGAAAAGAAAGGGAGGGAGGGAGGGAGGGAGGGAGGACAGCCAGAGCTAGGTGAGTTTGGCAGCCTGTACCAAAGCCATGAGAACACACACACATGTCCCTTGAGCCAGGAATTCTGCTTCCAGGCAGACTCTGGGAACATGGTCAACTGTTCACTGTCCCTTCACCGAGGACGCCTGGCTTCTGAGGCCACACGCTGAGGACAGAGTGCTGGAGGAAACACTGGTCACATTCTTCATGGGGCAAGACACACGATAAAACATCTAGGAGCATGAGTTAATGCAATGTCTCAGGTGAAGTTTTTAAAAAGGCTGATAGACAGCAACTTGGAGGAGGCAGGGAAATGTGCTGTGTCGGCAGCTCAGCCTGGCTTCTGCTTGGGAAGAAAGGGACCTGGAGAGCAGCAGGGGGGATGCTGTGAATATGTGCTGCTCTGATTGGTTGATAAATAAAGCTGTTTGGCCTATGGCAAGTCAGGTTATAGCTAGGCAGGAAACTGAAGAGAGAGACAGGAAGAAGAAAGGCAGAGGGGAAAATGTCAGCCGCTGCCACCAGAAGAAGCAAGATGTAAAAGTACTGGTAAGCTACGGCCATGTGGCAACTTATAGATTAATAAAAATGGGTTAAGTTACAAGAGCTAGCTAGCAAGAAGCCTGCCATAGGTCATAGAGTTTGTAAATTATATTAAGCCTCTGAATGATTATTTTATAAGTAGCTGTGGGACCTTGGGCCTGGGCAAGACTAGAGAAACCTTCTGACTATAGGGGAAAGCCGCCCTCCTGTAGAAGATGGGGAGGGGACCACAAACCTCTTCCTGGAACTGGGGAGAGGGGACTTGCTACCTGTGTCTTCACTAGGGCTGTTGATGAAGGCAAAGGAGAGGAAGAAGTTTCTTATGATTACAGGACTACCTAGGAATGATGGGTTGGGGGCTTTGGTTTTGTGTTTTAACAGCCATGCACAGAAAAGGACCTAGAAACTAAAATGCAAAGCATTGTTTGGCTCTTACAGCTGGTACCTGGGATGTACAGAGATGCACAGGACAGAGGGTGGCTACCTGGAATGGCTCAGTCAGGCGATGTCAGCAGGGTAAGTATGAGGACTGGAGTTTGCAATATCAGAACCCATGTAAAAGCCACAAGGATGTGGAAGCCAGCCTGTTGCTCCAGCTCAGTACATGGGAGATGGAGATGGGGGAATGGCCACAGCAAACTGATTAGACACAGGCTGAAACTGCAACCTCCAAGTTCAGTGAGAGACCCTGCTTCAGTACAGAAGGTGGAGAGCAATCAAGGACAGGAGAGTGCACTTGGGCAACCATGTGTACTCACACGTGTGTATACATATATGTACACTCACCCACACACAAATACATGCAAATAAATGCATAATGACAGTGTCTTTAACCATTCTGTTGCTTTGCTAGCACATGTCACTTTTTTTTTTGTCAACGAGCACTTATAGCTTTTATAATAGGAAAAATAACAATTGTAAACTTTACTTGATGAGGTGAGAAATTAAAAATCTGCTGGACTAAAACTTGAGAAAACCCTTGTGAGGAAACTGGTGCCCGGCTACACATCCAAAGTGCAGAGGGGCCTGCCCTGAGGAGAAGAAAGTCTCATGGTGTGGCCAGTTCACACCTGCTGTTTCAGGAGGGCTTGCCCCAACTCACAGGTGACTTTGGCAAACACAGCAGTGGGAGGTGGGGGCAGGGAACTCTGCAGACTTTCTGGGGCAACTTCCGGCTGACTGAGAAGTTCAAAGGCCTTCAGACATGGCAGCTCGCAGGTCAGACGGCAGCTGCCTCACATTCTCAATCGGACAAGGCTGGGACCGCCAGGAGGCAAGGCCAGACCCTGCAGGAGTGTGCCCCAGGTGAAGGCAAGGGCAGGCTGCCCCCTTGTCTGCAGTCATGAACTCTTGGCTGCTTCTGCCTCCCTCCATAGTCTTGGTTTCTGAGTGGAGTGCTTAAGTCAGCCATAGACTCTCTATTGAAATGTCTAATATTTCTAAGAAAAAAAATGCATGACTCAGTCCCGGAGACTGAGCGATTCTGCCAGCCTCAGGGTTGGTTTCTCTCCTACAGCACAGGACACCTCAGCCCTCCTATTGCCTGCCCCCCTTTGTTCCTTCCTCAGACTTGTCTTCCCTGCCTTGGCTGCTGCCATGCCCTAGCACAGCTTCACACTAGAATGCTCTTGCTATCTGGACTTTGGCTGAAGGACCCACCGCAGCACAGCCTCCATGAAACCAACAGACAGAACTGGGATTTTTGGAGTGATTTGGATCCGACTTCAAGTCCTGACTCTGATGCTCATGTACATCATTCCCCAAACTCATTCTGACTCATTCCACCTCATCAAAATGTGGAAACAGTAATGGGTAGTGTGCATAGGATTCTTTGTAAGAACTGAATAAAACACAGAAAAGCACTTGTCTACAATGAGATTCCACTTTGGACATGTTATAAAAGCTGTAAGGCAGACAGTAACAAACATCCGAGGTTGTGGCCATAGGAGGATATGCACCGTAAGCTGGCATGGCCACTATGGAAAATAGTGGGGTAGCTCCTCATAATATCATCACAGAACTTAGCAATTCCTCCCCTGAATTGCTAAGAGAACTGAAAACATACACACACAAAATCATGCACATGAAATAAGTCACTGAATGGTGGAAACAACATAAATGTGCACTAACCAATGGACATTGTGTAGTTATCCACAGTGGAATTTTATTGGGCCAGGAAAAGGCATGATGTCCTGATGTAACACCACACTAAGTAAAACAAGACAGTCACAGATGCCCACACACTGCATGATTCTATTCTAACATGTCCCAAAGCAGACAATCCTTAGGGATAGAAAGGAAGGAGATGGTGGTTGTCAGAGGCAGGGGAGGTGGGGGTGGGGGGAGGTAGAGGGGGTAGGGGAGAGGTGGAGGAGGCAGGAACAACAATCTATGGTTAGATATTGGTGATTGTTAGGTAACTCTGTGAATATTCTAAAACCCACTGAACAGTGCACCCCAAAGAATAAACCACACCATGTAAACTGTGTCTCAATAAAGCAATTAGCATGAGACAAGACATGGCAGACCCTCATCTCTGGCCCTCAATCCAAGGGTCCTATTTTATCTAGTGGACACTTCCCTAAGCATCTAACCCAAAGTCTTATTAATATGCACTTAGATAGTTGCCAAATGGCTGAATGAGTCATTCAGAAAATGGACCACGAACAATGCGAGACCAGTGCCTGGCACAGCAGGGACGGACACAGGCCGCTTTCCTCACTCAGTGCCCAGGTGTCTGCCACAGCAGCCTCAGAGAAGATGGCCTCTTGGGCTGGGCAGGGCAGAAGGAAGCAGAGCCTGGGTCCCAGAAGCCACCCTGGAGGTGCACGGCCCAACAAGGCCGCTCTTGGCAGGGAGCAGCAATCACACAGGAGCAGCTCCCAGGACTCAGGAGAGAGGGGGCCAGAGAGACACAGCCTGGCCCCGAAGAGCCTGGTTTTTACCACACCCAGAGGGCTAGGTCAGGCCTTGACCCTGGGCCTCCAGAGCTGTGGGAGCAGCCTGGTGGCCGAGGGAGCTCCTCACACTGGTGGGCATGAAGGCCAGTCCTCTAGGTCCTGGTGCATCTGTGGACTCTAAGGGGAGGCAAAGACTGCTCAGCCAACAGCATGAAGATATGATGCTGGCCGCCACAGAGCAAGATGCTACATCAAGCAAAACTTGAAAACTTTCAGTAGAAATTAAGAGATCTTTGCTTTAATAGAAGGAATTATTAAAGAAGTAGACATGTATACAAGGGTTCTGATGAATTTTACTTCTCTAAAATAAAAGAATTTTGTGTGCTCATATGTGCGGGAGTGACAGGCCTAACAACCTCATGTGTTACCCACCCCTCCACTTTTATTTTTGAAATAGGGTCTCTCACTGGCCTGGAACTATCCAAGTAGGCTAGCCTGGCTGGCCAGAAGCCACAGGGATCTGCCTATCTCTGCCTCCCCAGCACTGGGCTTAAATGGGTGTAACTACCACACCCAGCTTTTACAATTTTGTTAGCATGGCATTTGGAGATCAAACTCAAGTCCTCATGCTCGCTGACGGCACTATCTCCCCAGCCCTACAATCAAAAACCTCAAATTACAAAGACCACGTGTGCTGGCTAGTGTGTCCACATGACACAGCTGACCAACTGGAAAGGAGGGAACTTCAGGTGAGAAAATGCCTCCATAAGACTGGGCTGTGGGGCATTTTCATAATTAGTGATTGATGGGGGAGGGTCCAGCCCACTGTGGGTGGGGTCATCCCCTGGGCTGGTGGTCCTGGGTTCTATAAGAAAGCAGGCTGAGCAAGCCAGTAAGCAGCACCCCTCCATGGCCTCTGCATCAGCTCCTGCCTCCAGGTTCCTGCCCTGCTTGAGTTCCTGTCCTGCCTTTCTTCAGTGATGGACAGTGATGTGTAAGTGTAAGCCAAACAGACCCTTTCCTCCCTAATTTGCTTTTGCTAATGGTGTTTCATCACAGTCATAGAAACCTAAGACACCACACATACACATGACATGCACACATACCTAAACATACAAGCAGCCCATAATCGATGTAGATTAACAGCCAAAATAAGGAGACAGAGAACTCCTCAAATAATTAAGTTCAAAAAACAAAGCTGGGGATCTGGACAGATGGCTCAGCAGTTAAAAGCACTGTAGCCAGAAGGTTTCTCCGGTCCCGCCTGGCCCAGCGGTCCCTCAGATCACAACTGTCTGTAACTCCATTTCCAGGGGATCTGGCACCCTAACACAGACATCCATGCAGGCCAAACACCAATGCACATAAATTTAAATAAATCTTAAAGAGAGAGAGAGAGAGAGAGAGAGAGAGAGAGAGAGAGAGAGAGAGAGAGAAAGCTGGAGACTGATACTTCTGTGTAGAAGCCATAGGAGAAAACAGCTCACCTCTGAAGAAAATGCAAATTCAAAATGACAGTGACTTCTATTCCCAGGAAATGTCTGACAAAACTCTATGTCCACTGGAAGTCAGCTGAGTGGATCTTTTGTGCCATAGGGTGGAGCCCAATCCATTACATTACTTCAATGAGCACCTCTCTACACCCAGGCAGGTGCAAAAGGACCCAGCATGTCTACCCAAAAATCATTTCCAGGAAGAAACTTTATTTTATTTATTTAAAAAATTTTTTTATTCATTTTACATACCAACCACAGATCCCCCTCATTCCTCCTCCTATTCACCTCCCCCAGCCTCCTCCCCTGACCTACCCCCCATCCCTTCCTCCAAAAGGGGTAAGGCTTCCCTTGGGGACTTAGCAAAGCATGGTACAGTCAGTTGGGGAAGGACTAAGACCCTCCCCCCCCCCCCCCCCCCCCCCGCATCAAGGGTGAGCAAGGCATCCTACCATAGGAAATAGGCTCCAGAAAGCCAGCTCATACACCAGGGACAGATCTTGATCCTACTGCAGGGGCCCCTCAAACAGACCAAGCTACATACTGTCTCCCATATGTAGAGGGCCTAGTCCAGTCCCATGCAGGTTCCACAGCTGTCAATTCAAACTCAGGAGATCTCATCTATTTCCCCTTCCCAGGGCAATCCATGAGTCCCTCTTTGGGTCCTCCTTGTTAGCTAGCTTCTCTGGAGAAGCAGAGAACTGTGGGTGCAGTCTGGTTATCCTTTGCTTTACATCTAGTATCCACTTATGAGTGAGTACATACCATGTTTGTCCTTCTAAGTCTGGGTTACCTCACTCAGGATATTTTCCAGTTCCATCCATTTGCCTGCAAATTTCATGATGTTGTTTTTTATAGCTGAGTAGTATTCCATTATGTATATGTACCACATTTTCTTTATCCATTATTCGGTTGTGGAGCATCTAGGTTGTTTCCAGTTTCCAGCTATTACAAATAATGCTGCTATGAACATAGTTGAGCATGTGTCCTTGTGATATGATTGAGCATCTCTTGGGTATATGCCCAAGAGTAGTACCATTGGGTCTTGAAGTAGATTAATTCCCAATTTTCTGAGAAGTCATCATACTGATTTCCAAAGTGGCTGAACAAGTTTGCATTCCCACCAACAGTGGAGGAGTGTTCCCCTTGCTCCACATCCTCTTCAATATAAACTGTCATCAGTGTTTTTGATCTTAGCCATTCTGAAAGGTGTAACATGGTATCTCAGAGTCATTTTGATTTGAATTTCCCTGATGACTAAGGATGTTGAGCAATTCCTTAAATGTCTTTTGGCCATTTGAGATTCTTCTGTTGAGAATTCTCTGCTTAGCTCTGTAGCTCAGTTTTTAAATTGGATTATTTGGTATTTTGATGTCTAGTTTGAGTTCTTTATATATTTTGGAGATCAGCCCCTCTGTCAAATGTGGGGTTAGTGAAGATCTTTTCCCATTCTATAGGCTATCATTTTGTCTTATTTACTGTGCCCTTTGCCTTACAGAAGCTTCTTAGTTTCAGGAGGTCCCATTTATTAATTGTTGCTCTCAGTGTCTGTGCTACTGGTGTTATATTTAGGAAGTGGTCTTCTGGGCCAATGCCTTTGAGGCTGCTTCCTACTTTCTGTTCTATCAGGTTCAGTGTAACTGGATTTATGTTGAGGTCCTTTGATCCATTTGGACTTGAGTTTTGTGTATGGCAATAGATATGGATCTATTTGCAATCTTCTATATGTTGACATCCAGTTATGCCAACACCATTTGCTGAAGATGCTTTCTTTTTTCCATTGTACACAAGTTTTGGCTTCTTTGTCAAAAATCAGGTATTCATAGGTGTGTGGATTAATGTCAGGGTCTTCAGTTCCATTCCATTGGCCCACATGTTGGTTTTTATGCCCAATAGCAAGCTGTTTTTTATTACTATAGCTTTATAGTAGAGCTTGAAGTCAGGGATGGTGATACTTCCAGAAGTTGCTTTATTGTAAAAGATTGTTTTATCTTTCCAAGGTTTGTTTTTCCATATGAAGTTGAGTATTGTTCTTTTCAGGTCTGTAAAGAATTGTGTTGTGATTTTGATGGGGGTTGTATTGAATCTGTAGATTGTTTTTTAGTAAGATTGCCATTTTTATTATGTTGGTTCTAACTATCCATGAACATGGGAGATCTTTCCATTTTCTGAGACATTCTTCAATTTCTTTCTTCAAAGACTTAAAGTTCTTGTCATACAGGTCTTTTACTTGTTTAGTTAGAGTTATCCCAAGGTATTTTATATTATTTGTGGCTATTGTGATAGGGTGATGTTTCTCTGATTTCCTTCTTGGCCTGTTTATCATTTGTATATAGGAGGGCTACTGAATTTTTTTTAGTTAATCTTGTATCCCTCCACATTACTGAAGGTGTTTATCAGTTGTAGGAGTAGCAGGAAGAAACTCTTATCACAAAGACTGAGGATATGATTTGCAGTGTTCTTCATAGCAGTGGAAAAATCCTGGAAAGAGACCCTATCCCATAGATGTAAGAGATTTAAGTTCCCATCCATTCAAAAGCAGAGCTCCATGTGGCCTTACAAGGTGTGCCCATGTTGAGCAGGAAACGCAAGCTGGAGAATATTCTCAGCATGTTATCATGCCTATGCTAGAACCTAAACAAAGCTGAAAACATGAGAAACATGGGGGTATGCAACACCAACTTGGAGTAGTTTGAATTCTGAGGAAAGGGGTATGGCCCCCATGAGGCTTTATTTCTTTTACTAAAAAGCTGCATGAGCCTAGAGAACCTTTGAGACTTGAGGAGTCACCAGATGGTCCTATAGGTATTTGTTATGTTATTCCTGATGTTTTTCTCATATATGTTTTGTAATATAATTTTTATTTTTAAAAATCAGATAATAGGACTGGGCATAGTGGCACAAGCCTTTATTCCCAGCAGAAGCAGAAGGATTCTGAGTTCAAGGCCAGCCTGGGGTACATAGCTCTAAAACAGTTAGGACTAGAGAGACCGAGTCAAAAAAACAAAAAAAGAAACAAAATAAAAATCAGACAATAGACCCAGAAAGAAGAAGATTCAAATATTAACCGACTGTGCACAAGGAACAGAGAGCTGTGAGGGACCACACAGGATACCCAGTTAAACTCCAACTTCAAATGACAAATCCTAACTTGTTGACTGAAAAGTCATCTTGTGCAAGATGTGGAGAGGAGAGTCAAGGCCAGCTTTGGGTGGAATACAGATGGTGAAGAGCCCTGCAAGGACCCCAGGATCTGTGAGCGTCTGCAGTTCCTAGGAGGGATACTAGTGGGCTGGTCTGCATTGGAGGCTAGAACTGAATAGAGAGCTGAGGTCAAGCCACAGCCATTTTTACTGCCCATCCCTTGGTAGGCTGGTCTCTCAGGCAGGTGGAAACACAGCCAGCCCCTAGGAAGAGGGCAGCTATCTGTCTGACACAGCTTTAGGCCTGTATAGTTGGACCAGGGCAGGAGACAGGAGCTATGGAGCTGAGTCGGAGCCTGTGCTGCCCACACTGCAAAGAGGGGACCCAGGAGAGCAGAGCAGCAAACAGGGGGAAAAGAGAGATCCAAGACAGGCTCACAGAAGAGGATGTGAAGACCTACGCCCACACTGTGAGCATAGAGTGAGGAGCTGACACAAGTACAAACTGATGTACACAGGAAGAGGCTTTAGAAGGGCATACAACTGCTCCACCGTCTCTAACAAAAACAAACCCACGGCAGAAAGCCCAGAATCCCTTTTCTCCTACTGGGAGAACATGGGTCACTTTTCTTACTTCCCATGATCTTCTTAGTCTGGATTCCAGGTGAGTACGCTAAGGAAGAAGGCAGGGATGAGTTGGGGTGGAGAGCAAGGAGTAGACACCTGTGAGTGGGACTAGGGCATGAGGAGAT